CGGGACTAAGCGGGCGGGGCGCGGGGCTGCCCCTTGCTGCGGGGCAGCTGTGCGAGGCGCCGCTGGAGACCCGCGCGAAACGTGCTCCCTCAGCGGAAGGGCGACGCAGGGATCCTCCCTGGGGAGCGCGCTCACTGCCCCTCTGCCTCCTCCCTTGACAGAGGGTATCAGTGCCCCGCCTGCACGTGTTCCTGCCCCACCTGCGTGGCTGGTGTAGCTCAGTGAGCCTCAGCCGGGGTGCGGGGCACCCTGGGGCGCCTCAAGATCTTTTCCAGGGCTCCCCGCAGGGTTAGCACTGCTGAGCGTGCAAACACGACTCACACAATAAACCCCGGAGATTTCCAACCATAGTAAAAACATGCTGCCCGGCTGTGGGCTGGGTTGCTTGCCACAGAAAAAAAAAAAACCACCACACTGCTCTTATGATTTTTAACTAGTCAGGAAAGAGGTGAAAAGGAAGAGCTGGTGCTTTCTGAGGGGTGCCTCGAGCCTTAATGAGCGGGGCCTCATGTCTAAAAAAAAAAGTTGGGGACCACTGGTAGTGATGCAGGCAAGCTTTCAGGGACCACAGGACCCCAGGCTGTGCAGCTATTAAGACAGCAGTAAAAGTCCAGCAGACTCAATCCAGGTCTTTATTCAAAAGTTTGGATAATAAACCTGATGCTGTAAAGGACTAAACAGCTCTTCACCAGGGGCTGAGAGAGATGGGCAGCACATGGGAAACCCTGGTCATCTTGTAAATAATAAAGCAAAGAATATAAGCAAATCTAATAGACACTCTAAGCATATTTCTGGAGGAGGCTGCTTGATTTTCCCACATTCCTAGAAATAAAAGAATGGAGGTTCTTGAGGTATGTTCATAAATGACAAAATCATTTTTGGAGCTTGCTGAGTTTTGGAACAACTCTTTGCTTTTATGCTATGATATTTTCAGGTATCATAATCTATGTCTTCCTATATTGACATAAAAACACAATAACACCTTGTCCTAAGGGACATGGCACAGAAAGGGACTGGTGAAAATGTGGCTTTTTCCTCTTAGTAATACATCAACATAATTGCACAAGGCTCTTGCACTTAAGCATTAAGTGACATACGCCACCTTATGAGGGCAGTGAATCAATCTGGAGTCCCATGTCACTATGTAAAGAAACTACTCTGGATCTCTGGAACTGACTCCACAAAGGAGAAGTTGAGTACCTTTCTGTAGGAAGGGAAGTATCTGCAGAGATTAATGTTAATAGCAACTGCTTGAGAGCCTGCATGGATCAAAGCTGTTTAACTGGCTATCTTTGATTCTTGTTTTTTAGATTAGAGATCTTTCCCAGTGGCATTAGAAGATGCTTCCTGGCTCCAAAAAGGGATTTTTATTGTTATTACATGGATTTGTAATTCATTGCGACAATGCACCATGTTCCTGAAGAAGAGGACATAACGAAATGCAAGGCTTCAGGGATTATACACTGAGCTATAATAACTGATGCATAACAGCTATCACAAATACAAAGTTTCCTAGGAGTTGAAAGGATGTTCTGTATACACATATATATTACATGCACATCTGCAAATGTAAAACGCACCTAGAAAACTTGTGCAATCAAGGATATCAAGAGAACACACCCTACAGCAGGGATGTCAAACATAAATCCTGCAAGCAAATCACTTTGTCCACCCCCAGCCTACCAGCATAGCCAGTAGGAGGAGTAGGCTGCTGCAGAATCTGGGGTCCTTGGACCCTGTGGACATGGCAATAAGTAGCAGGAGGGCAAGTGGGGGCTGACAGTCCAGGTCACTCTCCGTCTGCTTTGCCTGTTTGTACTCCTGTAGCCCTACCTCCCTGGCTGCTGGCACCCACCACATGCTCCATGCTGAAGCCAGAGCCTGAGCCACCACCATGTGCTCTGGGTTACAGCTAGGGCTGCTGCTTCTGCTACAGCAAGGAGACCTGTGGTCTGGGTCCAAGCCAAGGCATAAGGTGAGTTTGACACACCTACCCTACAGGATATATTGCCTTATACTCCACAAATATGGGAAGGCAGCTTGTAAGAGAATAATACAGTGGACTAATGTCTTATGCAAAACCACAAAAAATGGATCTCTGCATTTCATATAAATATGTCAAAAAGATTCACATTTTAGTATTGAAAGCGTTAAAAAAAGAGTGGAGTAAAGAATGGCATTAACCTCGAACATGCACATTTTGTGTAGAATAGTGTGTTAACCACTGTCAAACTCTACATAAGGAAACCAGGTCTAATGACAATTCCCCATCCAAAACATACGTCTTTCTGAACTCAGGAGTACTATGATGAGTTACCTGAGAGTTGCAGGAACTGTGATTACCCCCAAGTTATTCAATTATCTTCTGCCCTAAGACCATTATTATAGTTCTGTTTTGTCTCTGTACTTCAGCACTCCAGTAAGATTTGAGAAATGTTTATCGAACCTTACGAAAATCTTCAGAAAAGATTTCCTAGCCATATAGGCAGCTTGTTCCATTTTCCTTCTGTTCTGACAGTAGGAAAGTAGTCTTCTGAGACTAAATCTAAATCTGGTTTGCCTTATATCCACTGCCCCATGTCCTGTCCTCTATAGCAGGAGAAAACAGTTATTCTACTTCTCTGCATAGTAGCCTTTTAAACATTCAAAAAAACCTATCATGTCCCTACTTAATTTCCTTTTTGTCCAAACTAAACATACCTAATTCTCTCAACATCTCCAAGCATGGCTTGCATTGCAGTCCCTTTATCATTTTTGTCATTTGGCTCTGGATCCTCTACATCAGCATTTCTCAACCCATGGGTCATGACCCAAAAGTGGGTCACAAAAATATATGAAAAGGTTGCAAACGAACTTCAAAAGTGGATTCTCCTTTAAAGAAGAAAAACATGGTAAATCATGGCTCTTCCCCTGCAGGCTGGCAGAGTTCCAGCCTTCAAGGGCCTGCTTGGGGCTGCCCATGCACCACACACCCACCCCCTGCCCCACACACTGGGGGGCTGGGGCCTGGGGGCAGGGGTCAGCGGGTCGGAAGTGAAGAGCACTGGATCAGGAATAGTCATCGATGTTTGGGTCCTGGTACAAAAAAGGTTCAGAATCACCGCTCTACATGAAACACTCCTGTTAACAGCCCCATATTACTTTTTTTCTGCAAGTGCATCAGCTGCGTCTGTGATCTACCAATAACATCAGATTCTTTGCAGCCAAGCTACTGACTAGCCAGTCATCTCTCATTCTGTATTTGTGTATTTGTTTTTTCTTCCCAAGGTGTAGGTCCTTACAGTTGTCTCCAATGGATTTCATTTTGTTGCCTATGGCCTTATTCCCCGTTTATCAAGATCCTTTTGAATTTTGTTCCTGTCCTTTAAAATGTTAGCAACTCCTCTTAATTCTGATTCATCTGTAAAACATACTCAGGAAGCTCTCTATTCTGGCATCCAAAACATTAATAAACATGTTAAACAGCACCAGATTCAGAACAGATTGCTGCAGAACCACATTTAAAACCTCCTGCCATTCTGACATTGATCCATTTATAGCTACTTTTTCCTTGTGATTATTCAGAAAATTGTGTATATACCTAATGCAATTCTATCTTGCCCACATTTCTCCTGTTTAGTTATGAAACTGACACATGGAACTGTTTCAAAAGCTTTGCCAAAGTTGGAGTATATTATTGTGGTAAAAATATGTTATAATCTAGTCATTATGATTTTGCAATAACGTTTGTATAGCAGCTGCGTGATAAAAATGTCTCATCTCACTACACAAAGGCTTCACAGCTGAGAACTGTTTGGCTTCACTACACAATTGGTTTTGCATATTATCACACTTGCTTCTGCTAAGGTATGTAGGCCAATGATAGATTTACAAGTAGCACTAGACTTCTGCAGATATAGCCAGGAACAGATGCAACAAATAACTCCTTACGAGAGATAAGAGAAGAGGGACAGGAAAAGATGCTGATGTGAAGAACTCAGACCTTGACCGAAGAATGACCGAAATGGACTTAAGGACGGCCCCAGGGAGGAGATTTAAGATGTAAATGAGACATGTATGTAAACCGTCATAGAACATATCCCTACTAGACATATGTTGTAAGACGTAATACTTGGGCTGCCAATAATTACGCGACACGTTAGAAGCTTTTGTTTATGTTAGCTATAAAAAAAACCCCCAGACTCTGTTTGGGGTCGACACGGATTTAAGTAAATTAAGCTCCCTTGTCGAACTTGTTTGCAAACAATAAATCTGAAATTGGACCCAGCCTGTGTGTGAGACTCTCTCCTAGAGGTGGATTGGACAAGCCTCCAGGGGCACGAAACTAGCCGTTTGTACAACATTATTGTTGAGGGCTTCCCTTTGTACATAAAGCTAGTTACTCTGTCAAAGAAAGACATCAAATTGATTTGGCATGGTTTGTTCTTGACAAATCCATGTCGATTGCTAGTTATCACCACTTCCTTTTCCAGGAACTTCCCAGGCATTAAAGACTTGTCTGGCCTTGTGTGCTTCCTGGGTGTAATCAGATATTTCCTGACAAGTCAGTATAGCCAGCATATCCTATGATGACGGCATTCTTGTACTCCCTGTACAGGCGAGCAAGAAGAGTCCTCACTGGGTGCATCTACACATGAAATTAGTGCACCTGAATGAACTATGGCACAGTCACACTGGAGTTTATTGTTCCTGGGTCAGTGTTTACACATGCCTGGGACCACAGCATGTTGAAGCAGGGTGGCAGAGCCCCAG